TATAGAAATCTGTCTGTAAATTGCAAAGTGCAGCATGAGTGTAAAGTTTTATGATCCTCGTGTAATATGGGTCAGAAGGTGCAGGTGAATTAATAATAAGCCACAAATGTTAGTAACTGCATATTCAAAACTCATCAACATGTTTATGATTAAGTACCTTTCCGATACGAGCAACTTGTCCCACTCAGCACATCTTAAAGGTTCATACTTTAAATAAAAGAACAAATACTTGGTAATTAGTAGCTGTGTCCACGTGTGCCAAGACAGGCGAGCTAAATCATAATGACAAATATGGGTTTGGGGTATGTGCTGAGCTTGCATTAATACCACAAGGCTTTTTTTGACATAGAAATTGCAGGTGAGTTACGAAGCATTTTCACTGAGTAATCCCACAACTCTTTCATGAGTTGGATCAGTGAGAAGCACAGGGATCACAGCCTGGGAGCAACTGTATCTGATTTTGAATGTCCTCCAGCAAAACTTTCAGAACAAACACTGCAGCACACTTGGCAACAGCTATCAGTTAGTCTAACCCCAGCCAGAGCCTGCACCAAACGTACCATATTCACTACTCAAAGTCATTCCCAACTCAGGTTTTTAGCTCAGAAAACTCCACGGCAGGCGAAGCACAACACATAAAATGATTAAGAGATGTAATACAAACATGATTTTTCCTGTGGTAACTGCAACTTCTCTAATAATATTGTCTAATTCGACCTCCCTCACACCCTCATCCAATATTTCCTCTCCAATGGCACATATTGGCGGGAAGTTATTCCCTTAATTATCTCCTCATTCCCTCTGTGGGAGGCATTACTGTAGCTATTTTGGCAGATGTGATTTCAATTTAATCACGTAGCGGAAGACACAAGCCAGCTCAAGGGTTAACTCCGAATGGGCCCCTATGGAGCTACAGTATGTGGGCAGCGTATGTGCTGACGCTGGGCCAATAAAGGCGCTCGCACAGACGAGTGTGCAAGATGCTTACAGCAGATTTTAGAAGAATGGACTGGAACTTCTTTGTGAGAGTGTGAGCATCTGCAAACTTTACAAAACTCTGTGACAATGATCCAAGTAGAGAGAATTACACAATATCGTTTTAAACATAAGGGGTGCAATTAAAGGACTTTGGGGGCTGTTACTGAAATGAGTGACTAAGCCCTTAATAACAGTGACTTTAGGAAGAGGCACTGGCTAGGAGGCCCCTGAGCCCTTGGGCCTAACATAACCAAATGGTTTTAGGTTGCTTTCAGACCTAGAGTGGTCTCCTGTGGTCTGAATCAGGAACTGATTTTGTTCCAAAGTTGTATAATTGTCTAGAGTTGGTTCGTGTTCTCACGGCAGCATTTACAAACGAACTACATAAAATGCCTTGTGTGAGAAAGCTGCTCTTGATTGGTCCAGATTTCCATGTGGGAAAAATCCAGGAAGTAAAGCAAACGTTGAAGAAGAGTACACTTGCAAGATAAATGTGACACTTTCTAATGTCACAATGGAGGGACAACTACGCAGGTTGATTTTAGCGCTGCTCATCGTGGACTATATTGCTGTCATTGTTCATTTTAGTCAAACCATACAGTTTGAAAACGAGGCACGGCTCCAACTAGAAAACAATGTTTTGATGCATTGCATGTGCTGAATGTGCATATTAAGGCAGTACAGGAGGAGGTGCACATTAATAATCCTTCAGGACTGTAACATGCTCATGTTTAACCCAAACAATGTGTCATGTGACTGCAGTTGGTTCAGATCAAGGTCGGAACACGTTCTCACCACAAATTAACCACCTCTTCAAGAAGGACTTGTTACGGTTGTTTTGGTGTGCACCTGAGTGTGATTGCTGTGTTCACACCTGCCCAAATGAACCACATTTAGGGGGCAAACGAAACATGAAGAAACGTAGAGCTCAATATGTCTGCAACATAACGTAACATATCAAGGGTTTGCAGATACACATAATGCCACTATTTAGTTAGGAGTTTATTTAGTATGGCGTCATTGGTGGGAATTTATCTTAAACTAGTATTATGTGTTTATTTACTGTATGTATGGGTGTGGAATTAAATGTTATGCAGACATGATGGAAATGCTTGTGAATTAAAAGACAAAGAGTGGTGAAGATACATGATGTATTAAAGCGGGTACTAAATTATTGAGTGATGATAAGCCTGAAAGGTCCTTGATTAATAGAGTGATGTGATATTAAACAGAGCATGCGGCTAATTTATCACTGCTTTCACATTATTATCACATAATTAATAAAAAAGCAATTTAATAGACGTGACTTGATAAATGAAAACACAATTCAGTATTAATTACTGATGGTATGAAAATGTCATTTCTGTAAAGCAATCATTGTTGTTTGCAGCTCAAGAGCATTTTTAAATATATTTTAATCATCAGTTACTGTACTACCGGCCCTCAAGACAATGAAAGTCTATGTCGATACGGAGCAATAATATCTCACATTTCTTGTTAAATAAACTTCAGGTTTGTTATTTTGGAGCCATATTCTTTTCTTTTTTTTTTTTTCGTGAGTGATTACTACAATATCCCCGTGGCTGGATTTTAATCAGATCAAATACTGCCCACAGTCTCAAAACATAATGAAGAAAACACAGAGTATATTGTGCACCACACTGTTTACTTTCTAATTACAGTCCACCCAAATCACATAAATCATGTCGGCATCCAGTCTAGATCACTCTCAAAGGGTGGCGCTATCTGAAGGAGTTCAAGGCACAAAAGCAATCAGCAGAGCTCCGCCGAGATGTGTCCATATTTAACCACCACGCGCACACACGGCGTTATGCAACAAGAATTTAGTCTCCATTGCATTTAATCCCCTGTAGCAACTTAATCCTGGGGCTAAGCAAACTCTCCTCCTCAAGCCTCCCTGCTGCTCTGATAACATAGAGGAAAGGAGGAGAGGAGATAAGAAAAGGAAATGTTGGAGCATGATAGAAGGAGATTTAAGAATACAGTAAGAAACGCAGATTAAAGCAGGTGATGAAAAGGAGAACTGGAAAAAAAATCTGACTTATAAATTGCAGAGAATGGAGCAGTGACTGTAATGCTTTTAAACACTGTGTTTACATGTTAGCGACAAAGGGTTAAAAGGTCAATCACAGCCAACTAAAGCTGCAGGAGTCAGGTAGAGCACTAGATGTAACTGCAAACTGCAGATTTACACTAGTGGACTGTAACTATGTGCATTTACTCATGTGCTGTACTTATGTACAGCTCTGAGGTACTTGTACTTCACCCGCTACATTTATCTGACAGCTGTAGTTACTCTGCAGTTGAAGGTTCTACATGCAAACATCAGTTTAAAAGATATGATTTGTTGCTTTAGGTTAAACTACCCAATTGTATATGAAGTAGTAAAATTAGCTCCCTCTCGACTGGCTATGAAATTAAAATGGTAATGCATCCACAACCAGAAGGACCTCCACCAAGGCCAGATGAACTATCTTGCAATGTTAATGAAAGTGAAATATAATTCCTGTATGCAGCCTGTGATTTGCATCTGTTCCAAAATTTAGTAGGTTCTTCCAGCAAGTTTAATAAAAGATGGGCCAGCAGTTTTTTCGTAATCCTGCTGGCAAACAAACAAACAAAAAAAAGCCAAAAACACAACTCCTTGGCAGGGGTGATTATAGTATAAATAATGATACAATAATAAAATAAATATTAACAAAAGACAGAAAGGTGAGATTCTGCTGCGTCATGAATACTTTTAGCTTTGATACATTTTGCTGATGACACTGTTCTTTATCATTTTAAATCCTGGACTTGAGATTGTAATGGTGTATTTTTACATGGTGGTATTGCTACTTTTCTAAGGCAGACAATCTGAAAACTCCTTCTCATCACTGCAGATTGTATAATAGCAGCCCACCAACAACCAAAGTAAATAAGCAATACAAAGACATCAAATGTGCTCAAACACTGAAGGGCATTCAGTATTTGGCATTCAAAAACGTCAAACAAAACTGATTGAGAGCTGGCTTGTTGGTTGGGAGGGAGGAGGAAAGATGATGTGAGGATTGTTGTTTTGTTAGTTACTGTTAAGCTTCTGAAAAAGGAGCTACTGTAACTTCTCAAAGAAAGACGCCGGAGCAGAAAAATAGAAAATATCTATTCACTACCCTTTACAGGAAGAAACTATAAGAATAACATATAATTACAAGACATTTCCGAAGACGTATTTGTCAAACATCACAGTTAGCTGCTTAGATTCCATAGCCATCAATCTGTAGGAAAGTATCGACCTTAAGACAGAAAGCATCACTCCGAAACAGTTGGGAGCTTGGCAACCATGCAGGACATTGCATAAGTGCCAGAGGAATCTCCTCCTCTCTAAGCATTGCTTAATCGGCCTTTCTCTTTCCCCCGGTAGGAACCCTGACTGCAAAAGCCTTGCTTCTCCTGGGGGCTGCCAAAATATGATGGCCAAGATATGATGGCCGGGAAGTTGGCATATGCACCACTGGCATATTAGCCTTAGCACAGCAAGAATATGACCACATTTAGTCATATGATGATCTGAAATAATTCCTCTATCATTGCTCCAAAAAATGTGCCGCCCATATTAAACACATGGAAAGCACAAGCTAATGTCTTTGGGTTTCAGTGTTATCAGGACTGATAATAAACAAGTGAGTCAGGGAATGACCCGTGATATTCAATGTGAGGAATTAAATATTTCACTTTTGCAGCCTGGGGCGGTGTTAATGTTTTAGGACACTGTTGGGTCAGATCACACTACACTGCGTAGCCCTCAGTGTTCTCTCCAAAGGACATGTTTAGTCAAGTTATTCCGTTCCTTTTAAGCATGCCCTATAATGCATTGAGACAGCGTTTATTTTATTATTTGAGCTTTGTCTCTCTCTCCAAGTGTCATGGTTAAAAGTGGTATTAGTTAAGTCAATTCAAGAGGGTTTTAAATACCACTGCGAATGGTCTGCAGTTGTATTGTGTTAATGTGAAGATCCTACCTGACATTGTCATGACGCTGGATGTAGATTTTGTGAAAGATCCTTTCTGGGGGCTTCAGGAAATCCTCTTTCATCTCCATAGCTACGTTCCTGGGCAACAGACTCATTAACAGGCGCTCCTGTGTGTGTGTGTGTGTGTGTGTGTATGAAAGAGAAAGAGGCAGAGAGAGAGAAGAGATAAAGTAAGTTTAATATAAATTTATAGAGTCAAACACAGCAAAGTTATCATAGGACAAAGTGTTAGTAGCGATAAGAAATGTGCGAGACATAAAGGCATGAAATCTAACAGAAATGAATAATGTGTCGAAATGACTCACGGCACAGGAGAGAGGGAGGGAGGGGGAAAAAAATAAGGACAAAAAAACAAGCACACATCTAATTTTACCCATACTTTCAGCAGCGTACAGGTGCCTGTACCTGTTTCTCGTTCTCGTCCTCCATGCGGAGTCTCTCTTCAATGCAGTTGCGAGCCTGGAGGAAGGCCTTCCTCTGGGCTCGTTCTGTCAGGATGCGCACAAACAGCCCTGACAGGTTGACACTGGTGAACAGCACTGTGTTGGCAACCAACTGCAAACAGAGGAAGAAAATGAGCATGAAACACACTCTTTTAATTCTTTATTACAGTTGTTAAAGACAAATACAGTATTGGGAAATCCTTAGTAGGTGATGTGAATGTGTTTGATTCATTCTTATGTATTTTTTTTATCTGTTTCATCTTTTATATATATGTGCTTCAGAATTATGATTGAATTTTCATATATGTATAATCAGAGTTTACATATGGAATCTAATTGATATTTTATGTCTATATGTCTGGTGCACAGTGCATTCTTTAAGCAGAATTTATACTTGTGCATCAGCTCTTTGCCGTAGCCTACGCTGTTGTAAGCGTTTATACTTGTGCAGTGGTGTGTCTGCTGCAGTTACACATCTAAAACACTAGCTGGCAGCTGGGTTTTTGTGAAGTGCTGTGAAATGTAAATCACACCCAAAAAGGCACTTAAACATGGCTTCAACACAAGTACACAAATACAACATGCTAATGTTTTTAGCACAAGCCTATGGCATTTTACATTGTATGAATTAGCTTAGCAGCTAGCAGACTTTTCCTCCACTGATATGAAACCAGGGACAACAGCAACATTTAACAAAGGTTACATTACAAAATTCGGCTCCGTTACAACTCACAAGGTTCACTGACAAAACAACCATCAACACGTTTTCCAAACAAACACAACATGCTAACATTATTAGCACAAGTCTATGGCATTTTACATTGTATTAATTAGCCTGGCAATGAGTGGCAATTTCCACTGCTCATATGAAGCCAGGATAAATCAAACACAAAACTTAAAATGTTGTTTTTGTGGAGGCTTTATTGTTTTATCTGTGAAAATAAAGTAAATAAAAAGCTTCGTTTCCACTGAGGGAATTGGTTTCAGCTTACAAAAATAGTCAGAAGGTCTGCTTTGCCTTTACTTGTTGCTACATTTCTGGGGAGGCACACGTCAGGCTTTCGTTGAGGCAGAGCGTATGCTGTAGGTACGGCATCGATTCGACACAGAAGTATAAATCCTGCATTATGAGTATGTGATAGTGTGTTCCTAATTTTCCTCAATCCTGGGTTAAGGTTCCCCAAATGGGCTGTTGAGAGGAATTAAATCAGTCTTCTCAATTCATTGACTTGTGTATATTTTTAGCTGTTTTTTTTATATTTCTCGATATTTATATTTATTTTAAATGCCATTATTATCAACTCCACATATAATCTTTAAATGCATTTTTAAAATTTTTGATTTGGTCTTAGATTTGTGATTTACTGTGTTTTAGCATTTTTATTTCTTTTCCCACTGTGTGTTTCTGTTGACAGGGATAAATAAAGTTGTATTGAACTGAATTAAATTGAATAAATTCACTCTAATCTATCCCATTATTAACTATTAGATTTAGAATATACACTGTATGTAACGTCCTCCTGCATGCGAGATGAATGACAGGGTGGTGGGGCCCAGTATTTCTCTATTTTGGGGTGTGTGACATTAAAGTGTGTGAGAATCTGTGCTCTGGTTCATCCATCACAGCAGATACACAGCAGCATGACTGCTTCAACCTTGTAGCAGGACACAAAGAAAACAGTTTTTCTTTCTACTTGACTGAGGTCGGCTGGCTATGACTTTGTACACAAACCAAACAAGGTCCCATATCCACCTCTAGAGTGAACACAAGCAAGCTGTTACCCTAGGCAGCAATTATGTATTCATAAGAATAAAGGAAGTTATTCTCCTCATATCTTGGGTCATTCATCATAAGTGTTTTGTGCAGCTGGAGTCAATGATGGAGCACATTTGACCTCAGGAAAACCTATAACAAACACCTATGGGCTAAACTTCAAAAATATAGTGTAATTTTCTGGAGGATTTCTGTTTCAGCGAACATCATAAAAACACTGTTAAACCTTCATATGACACACACACACAACAGCAAATTTAACAGACTTCTATTGCCACAGACAGGCATGTTTCCCAGTCCACTGAATAATGGATTGCCTTGAAAAGACTGTTTTTGGCAGCAGCAGTCTGTCTTTGTGCTTGGCAGCAGCGCTGGCAAGCGTCAACATGTTCGAATGATGCTCAACTTACTTTACAGCCTCGAGTAAGTAAACGTGGACATCTGAGGTGAGTGGTGTAAAACACTCCTTTGCTTATCTGTGGTGATAACCACAATTTGCCTTCATGTGGCAATAACTGACCTTATTGCAATACGCTCACTCGTGCAGATATCTTGCATCACTGTCAGTAAGACAGCTCCATACATGTTCATGCAGTGAGGAAACTACAACCTTTACACTGGCTTTTATTATGAACATCATTATTTGTGAGTGATCCTTTTATACACTAGGGCTTTCATTTAAAAGGATACTTTGCTCATTTTCAACCAGCTTTGTATTATAACAATGTGGGTAGTATGTGTTAATGAACTGTGGTTAACTTCCCACTGTCTTACCAGTGCCCAGATCTCCTTGCTCATATCCCAGTTTAAGATTTCGCTGGCTCTAGGACTGCTGCTCAAACTACAGATTGTACTTCTGCATTTTCATGTGCCCACCGCCACCAGACACAAGAGTAAAGTTATAGAAGCAGCTAGAGGGAGAGAGAGCTACCCCTCTGTCTCCCTCTTTTTCTTTGAAATGCAGACCAAACTCAGATCAAACAGTGAAACTAAGCAGTGCTGATCAAATATAACCCAAGATTCTTTTACTGTATTGCTTATTTCTCACCTGAAATGGCTTCAGAAATATATTTTAGTGCACTGTTTGGCTGTAACAGGAGAATTTGTGGGTGGACAAAATGTTTCTTGTATTGTAAAAACAGAGGCTGAAAATACTGAGATCAAACTGGGCTGATCAAATATGACACCAGATTCTGTTACTGCGCTGCCTATTTCTATATTGCTTCAGACACATATTTTAGCTTATCATTTAGCTGTAATTCCAGATTGTTTAGGCCCGTTTCCACTGAAGAAGTTCCTGGTACTATTTGGGGGGCAGGAACTACTACAGGAACGTCCTCTCGCTCGGCCCTCTCAACTGCCGTGTCTCCACTGAGAGAACGGAGTAGGAGGAAGGTTCCTGTAAAGTTACCGGGCTCTGTATGTGACATAATCGTTGCACGACCATTTTGACCGGGCGACGTAGGGGTGTAGGGACGCCGTTAGCCGTTAGCGGTGTCTGTAATAACTCCAGCTACGGTCCATGAAAAAAATATTTTTTTCCAGCGGATGTCTTAGTTACAACATGACTGAGCTAACTGGAGTAGTTTCATGTAGTATCTGACAACGGGAGGCTTTTAACAGATGACGTCCTGATGTTAGCTTTGCTGCTGCTGTTAGCTGTCCCTGTCAGCTGATGCTTTCTAGACATTGTGATTTCCCAAAACTGAATAAATACCACACATAGCAACACAAAACTGCTTTGCTAGCGTAATCATGTTGTAACTAAGATATCCGCTGGAAAAAATATTTTTTTCACAGACCGTGACCGGAGTTATTACAGACACTGCTAACAGCTAACGGTTAGCCCAGCTAAAAACGTCACATCCCGCCTTCAGTATATCCAATCAGCACCAAGTAATCCCCAAGCCCCAGCCAGGAGTTTATCAGGGCCGTTCTGAGTACCTACCGCGAGGCAGGGACTTGTTTAGCCCCTGTAAAAGTTCCGGAACTCTGTCCTTCGGGGGTGGTTCCTGCAGTGGAGACATGCACCAACGGCCCCGGCCCCGTAAAATTACCCTGAAGTTCCTGCAGTGGAAACGGGCCTTTTGTTACCAGATGGCCACCATACTGTTTTCTGTTTCCTATAGGGGAAGCGTTTGGTCCGGCGTGGCGCAGTGCATTCTGGAAGATGTAGGTTTTCTACCTCTTGAGCAAAAGCAAATGCCACAGCCCTTTTCCTCTGTTTCCTTTGGTCATATCACACCAATGTGCTTTACAGACAGCACAGTTTTATGAAAAGACCATCTTTCCAGCTGTGAAATATTTCTTTAATATGCATGTTATCATTGTTGTGCTTAACGTTAATGGACAGTGAAATAAAAGACAAACTCCCTGGGACTCGTTGCATTGTTTATAGCAGTCATTAAGCTGTGGATGTACTTTGGATTGGCATTCAATATAATAGTTGTCCAATCCAAGCTTTAACTAAAAGAGCGAGGCTGTAAACTCTGTGGTGTATCAATAAAATATGGCACTGACAAGAATAGAGTCTATATTCTTGACGTACACAATTTAAAACATGTTCAGTCAAGGACAGCAAGACTCAGAGCTGAGGAGCAGGGAACTAGCAATACCTTATTTTTCAAGTTATATTCCACACTTGCTTCAGTAATAAGATATTTTCAGGTAGACTGAGCCATGAAAGCAGACAGTACTGTGGGCTGAGTGCCTGAGACCTAGGTGGGTGGTTGGTGCAAGCCTGGGCCGCGCAGGGTCATGCCACACAGCTCATCTCTAAGCTTAATGGATTAGCTATCTCTGGTAGTACAGCTAACACTGTCCTTCACATGGCCATGCAGGTATCTCATAGCCTACATACAGGAAAACAATCTCCTCTGCGAACGCGCTGTCATCATCCGAGGGCGTGATGAACTGATCAAAATCTCAATTTCGCCTCCAAGAAATGCACAATCTTCATGTCATATGCTGCACGGCAGAGGCAGAAATATTCCACTACCCCTGGAGGGTTTGACTGATGTGAAATATCTTCTTTCCTCACACCTGATGACAGTCAGAAATGTGAGTGTGTATGTTTCATTGTGATAGAGAAAGGTACAAAGATATAAATGCGCAGAGAGTGCTGTACCAATTTCTATTTCGGCTTGGAAATGACATGAATGACTTTGCCCTCTTTTCCATAACTGAAGCATATAGTGTGGTGAAAGTGTAGTGTGTGCGTGCGTGCGTGTGTATCTGAGTGTGTGTGCCCCTCTGTTTGCCCTACTTCTAGTGCTAGCAGGATGTCACTCTGGTTCTTCATTCCCAGCCAGCTCCTCTGGGCCTGAATCACATCCCCAGGGAAACAGTGGTGAGCATGCAGACTGCTTTGCTCATTCATTTTTTTTCCTCCTCTTTGTTTGTTTTGTTTTTAAGGGCCCACAGGTATGCACATGGGCGTGGATTTCATGGGGAATGCAGGGGACACATCCCACTCAATATTCAGAACATGTGCATCTGTCACCCCCAAATAAAAACATGAAAGCAGTGACAGAATTAAAGATATTTCATCCACAAATTGGTGCAGAAAAAGGGACTGATGCTTACAATTTTCTGGGGGACAGGGACCCCAGACCACCGGTTCAGCTCACGTAACCTTCGCCTTTGTGTATGCATCACAACAACTATGGCCTACACACTACTTCACTATTACTGGGGCTAATACTGTAGTATTTAGGGAGGGCAAGAAAAAGTGATCAAGCAGAAATTCAGTCTCGCTTTGTGTTTGTTTAACAGATTCTAAGATCAAACTTCTCATCTGAAGTTCTCCTTGATGGCTCATAATTTTACTTGCTCACATGGCTGAGTTGACAGGCATTTTTTTTGAACCAAGAATTACACTTTTGACAAATTTGATCAAAGCCTGAGCAAATCCCATCAAGTCTAACCACAGGGAGCTGTCCCTGGTGCTGAAATCAAGTCTAAATTGTGTGTTTCCCTGCATGGGTCTGCATTATATTTGTGTGCATAGATATAGATGCAATGCTGATTATTATGGGCCCATTACTTGTTAGAATACAATACAAAAACAACTCGCCATAATTAACGTGCAGCACATACGTACCGTCCTCCATAGTTTCTGTGTTTTCACCGTGACAGAAGTGGCAGTCACAATCAAATGCGAGATGGAGACCATTATTCCAAACACAACCGCCAACAGTGTCCGCACAGGTAGGAGCGCATAGGCGACGAAGGTGACCAGGATGAGATGCCACACGCCTTGCTCCGGGGACGTCGGGGGCTCTATCCCCATCGCGCCCAGCGAGAAGGGACAGCAGAGGAAAGAGAAAGTGAAGCCGAAGAGCAACGTCAGGTTGACAATCTGCTGCAGCTGAGTCACTTGCAGGTACTTGACATTAGTTACGATGAAGAGGGAGACGAAGATGACACAGTGGACCGGATGGGACCCCTTGGAGATGGTGAGGCTGGGGCCGGACAGCAACTCCACCACGGCCAGTGTCGAGGACAGGAAGATGAGGACCGCCAGGGCTTTGAGAGTGGACGTCTGCTCCAGTTTCAGGTTGTAGTTCTGGAAGAGGGACTCGAGCTCCTTGCAGTCGAACTCGTCCTCACACGCGATGGTGGTCAAAGGGACGCCCGTTGGACAGTGACTTCTCTTCCGCCTGGTTTTGACTTTCTGAAACGGTATTTCCTCCATGTCAGTGCCATTCATAAACTGAATACCTGCTCACAGCTTAGGTCAAACGGAACACCGGATCCCACGCCGACACGGAGCGGAGCCAACGGTAAAAAGACGCGCACAGCAGGCTGGAGGCAGAGCGTCCCAGATAGCCGGAGACTGGCCGGTGGCCACAGACGCGCTCCACACTATCCACAGGTTGAATTATGTTGTTCGGAGAGATCAGCCACCAGAGAAGCCTTCATGTCTTGGCTGTATTTGCACGCGATCTGTAAAAATATATATTTACAATTGTTTTTTTTAGCATTCGTTTGAGCGCCAAAGGAAGAGCAGCGCACACGACGTCTAGTTCAGATGGTAAAAGCTTTTTGCAAGGCTCAGATAGGATCACGCCTGCGCATTATGAGGTGAAGATAAGACAGGTCTCAGCTACTCAACACACAGTCAAGACGATTTGACTGGTGCGGCTGCACAGCTCCTCTCACCAATGTGACAGAACAGCGCATACATCATCTATAATGGCAATGTCCTCTTCTTTCCCACCTACACATGACATGTTTCCATCATTACAGTCTGCGCAATCTATTTTCTTTTTTACCATATATTGATTCATTTGTGCTCTTCCTCTTCCTGTCTGACACACATGAGGAGGAGATAAACATGCACTGTATATAACTGTTTTCCAGACCGTGATTCATGATATTCTCACCACAGATTCTCACCAAGCTGCCAGCTACTTTTAGTTTGGCACAGACGCGGCATAACAACATGCTTGCATACCATTCATCATATGATTTCTGTGTTGCCAGTGAGGCAGCCACCCTCACCATCAGCACCCTCTTGGCATTCATGCCGTGGTGTCTCATTCATTACCAGGGGAAGATTAGTCATCCGTCACAGGCTGCCGTTGCCATGACCCGTCAGTGCCAGGCAGGGTGTAAGAAAGTGACAGATGGATGGCCCATGCCAAAGTCCAGCACTCCACCATGCTACCAGAACACTCACATGCCTTCTGTTCCCCTCCCATAGCACCCTGTCAGCTGTTAGTATCCGAGCTTTCACTGATCTCACTCAGCTACTGAATGAGTGTATACAGTGTGACAGGCAGACAGAGCGAGGAAGAGAAGTGGATGGACTATAGTGGAAATAAAAACAGAGAAGTAAAGTATGTGGCAGCCAACCAAAGGCCAGTCTGGCCACAGAGAAGCATCAAAGTGAGTGTTTTACAAGGAAAATAAACATAAATAATTCAACAATTTAAAGTGAGCTGATGCTGTATTAAAGCTGAAACAATTAGTAGATCAATCGATGAGTGGATTGACAGAAAACTTATCTGCATTATCAGGCAAAATTGGCAAGTAGAGTATACACTGCTTTCTCTGTTTTATATCATTACAAACTGCACCTTTAGTTTTTTGGACATTTAAGATGCCATCACTGGCTTTGGGAAAATGTAATGAGCATTTACCACTGTTTTTCAGACATTTTATAGACCAAACAATCCAAAAATAATCTATCATTAAAGCTGCAAGCTGTGATGAACAGGCCCTTACACCTTCCCACACATAGAGGGGATGCCAGTTGATGCAGCTGCGCATTTCCATGACTATTGGACACTATGTACACTATGCACACGAGTTAGATATCATTTCATCCCTACCTGTTTCATCGCTTCACTTCCTGTTGCCAGTGGGCGGTGCTACATAAGTGAGTCATCAATGCAGTACAACATTTACTGCAGTTCACTTGACATGCATATTTCTTTTTTTTTAGCTTGACAATAAAAAAAATCTTGGCCAACCTTAGAGAGATCACTGAACCTATTTGAGAACGAAGACGAGACCGATGTCTTTAGCGTACTGTCTGAAGCATTGTTGAGTCTGTATTTACCGATCCCTGTCCGAATTTTCTGGGGTGACCCCAGTAGAGCTGCTGGTGTCCGATCATATCTCTTTTACTCGAGTGTCGGTACTTGCACAAGTGCATATACATTTTCACAAATTTTGGACATTGCACCAAGAATTTAAATAGCCTATGACTTCCTGTGTCCACTATGTGATGCTAGAGAGCACACACTAATTATATGTCATTTTGCTGCATATCATGTGTAGACCACACCATGTAAATTTCATTTAAATCACTGGGCACTGTGACTATGACTCAATATAGACATGTATATGTCTTTGGGCTTGGACTCTTATTAAAGGATAACTTCGGTATTTCTCAACCTGGGCCCTATTTCCCCATGTGTATGTGTGCGTATGATTCATAGGTACCACTCATTCTAAAATTGGTTCAGTATTGAGGGAGGCGGATGCAGCCGGCAGCCGCAAAACCAGCTAAAACGGTAACGGGGGCAAATGCGTCCCGTATAAGTTTGCGCATTAAAAGTGCTTTTTTTCGCCACTGACCGGTTCAGATCACCAGTGTTATCTCTGTAAATAGCATACTAAGTATTTCCCTGACCCTTCACCTCCTCCGGGCTGTGATGTCATCTCGCGAGAGCTTTGCGTGTTGCCGGAAGAAAGCAAAGGAGCCATGCTGAGCGCCGCTCAGAGTGGCACTGGTTGTCCCGGAGTACAGTTGAGAGTTTTACTGCATCGATTGAAAACAATGGTTCGTGTTTGTGCTTATCCGAATTGCAAGAACAGGATGTCACGCAACACCCCGTACAGCTTTCATAGGCTGCCTTTGTCGGATGGCGAGATGCTGAAGTTGTGGCTAGTTGTGCTACAAATGGATGCTAACACTCTTGTCCAGACACTGCGCCTTGCAGACCATCGGGTCTGCAGTGCTCACTTCTCCCAAGATGACAACTGCCAGCCGAAGAAGAGAAGACATCCAATCCTGGAACACCTCTTCCTCAAGAAAACGGTTGTCCCATGAGTAGAGAGAGCTACAGACACAGTGGAGGTAATGTTATATGAACAATGTTCAAAACGCTTAGTATGCTATTTACAGAGATAGCACTGGCGATCTGAACCGGTCAGTGGCGAAAAAAGCACTTTTAATGCGCAAACTTATACGGGACACATTTGCCGTTACTGTTTTAGCCTCCCTCAATACTGAACCAATTTTAGAACGAGTTGTACCTATGAATCATATGCACACATACACATGGGGAAATAGGGCCCAGGTTGAAAAATACCGAAGTTATCCTTTAAGCATGTGAAATTAGGGGCAGATAGGACAATGTATCGGCAAGTTACAGCAGCTTCCTGTGTCATTCCAAAACATGTTATTGCCCGCCTCGTCATGACAACGCCATTCCATGAAAACACAAAAGCTTCTTAATTTGGCTTTGGGACGGTCTTAAGATTATGCTGACAGAATTCTAGATGGATCTGTTGAATCCTCTACGAGAAGTATTGAAAAGTTCCATCCCTGTGAAGTGCCTAAAATGGTGTGTTGTTACACAGCTTATGATGTCATGTTTTGAGGTACTGACTATTCCTTGACAGTTTAGTGTCACGGTAGTTGCAGGGTTATACCAACCAAATCTGAAACAAATCCGATAAAATGTTCAGGAGGAGTTCAAAAAAGTTAGCATAAAATCCATGAAAAATGCACAAAATTCAAAATGGCCGACTTGGAGCTGAGCCAATGAAAACCAATGAGAAATATGTCTGAAATAATGAGAACAATGTAGGTACCAAATTTCTTTAAAAATCAGAGCAACTTTTTCCCAACTAAAGCCCTCCACATATTTGGGGGCGCTATGGAGCTAGCTAAACACCTATGAACCCCACTGCTGTTTTGCAACGTTCACAGGTTTTAATGTTTGCACCAAGTTTCGTAAGTTTTCAAGCAAAGGGGTCAAATATGCACTAATATTTACGTGCCACGCCGAATTACACCAATAAATCAAAAATAATAACTAGTTTGAATATGGTTTCGTGAGTTTTTGTGCTTCCCACAGTCCTCAAACATTTGTTCGTAAAATGCGCTAAAAACAAAATGGCTGACTTCCTGTCAGGCGAATACATACAAAAAAATTATATGTAATTAAAGATGAGAGCAATCCCATCAAATTTTCTGAACATCAAAGGAACTTTATCCCAAACCCCAGCATGCAACAGAGCCTGCTGGCCACGTCTGAGCCATATCACAGCAGAACTTTGCAAATGTCACCAGTTCTGACTTGTGAGCCAATATTCATGACTTTTTAGGAATCCCAAGCTCTTTAAAAATGTGATTGTGCAGCAGAATAATAATCTATACAGCGTTATTGAGGGACTGTTGGGCCCCCTCTCATGTTTGTGCTCAGACCCTAATTAAAATAATTGCTAGTTCCAGTCCTACTTGATATAAACTCTGAAATATTAACCAAACTTGCAAAATGCTTGCTGTCACACTAAATGATTTCACAGGATATTGTTGTGTCCACAACAGTGGTCCACACCTTCCCCTCTTGTCTGCCTGCCAGTCTCACTCCTCTGTGTTATCTATCCCCGCTCCTCTGAGAGAAGGATGTGGGACACGGGATGTAGGACACATTGCTTTTAGGCTGATATTCTGTCTTATCTACAAGGTTTTTACTCTTGCCACTTTCCACTGGACTTGATTAGCTAACACACAAACACCGATGTGTTACTGTAGTTTGCCTGTGAGTGACTGGGGTGCTGTAACAAGCCTGAGGTGTTATGCAAATGAAAACAAAACAGTGTCGTCATTTATAGTCTGAGTGTAATTAATCTGGCATTGATTGACTGTCATTGCGCCAATCAATATTTCAATATACTTTGTGTAGCAGCTCCTAAATTAATCTCAATAATGAGCTCTGCTGTTTTTCAGTTCCGCAAGACATCTCACATTCCTTTGATGCAAATGTCAAACTGCATTCAAAGAAGATGAAAATCTGACATTCAAAATGTCATTTATGTATCTATACATGCAGGTTTGTGCTTTCTTTTTTGGACTACAGTTGATTGACAGATGGTTTCTTTGCTTTCGTGTGAAGGCGTGCCGTATTTCCAGGAGGACCTCTTGGCCTGTTTGTGGCCAGGAACATTGGGGGATGAGAGCAGAGGCATCGTACGGTATAAAAGTGTTATTCCCTCCGCTTTTGATGGCTTCAGGTGTAAGTGCGTGGTCACACTCTGCTAGCCCTCATCTTCTGAGAACAAAGAGAGGTCTTGTGGGAGTTCACACCACAAAGCTGCACTCCAAGGGCGTCGGACAAGGAGACAGCAGCCCGCTCCCTGCTGCGTGCCTCTTTACTAAAACTCGTCTTTGCTTCCTCTACGTCTGTCTTTCTATTTCTGTCTCTTGCTCTTTCATTACACAAAAAAAACTCCTCTTAGAATGAAAGACATGAAACAGCTGAGCATCTGAAATGATGTAAAACAGCTGATTATGTATCTGACATATTTACATTGCAAAATCGCTATTTGAATAACAGCTTGATGATTCAACAGCTTGAGCTCTCTGGAGCAATTAAAATCTTCTCCGCCACATGTCAGTTGTATAGCTCCTTTCCAAAAGCTGATCTATAGCACATAAAAGATCTTAGCAAATGCTTGCTACCAAATGTGTTTCATGTTAGGCCTTTGGTCACGTCTCAAATGTGGCTCCTCTTGCCGATTGAGCAGTGGAAAAATGTCACCCTCTTTCGCTCTCTTGCAAAAGGATTTACACAGCTTTTAATTCTCCAACCAGCAGGATGTTTTCCCATCTGGAGGCTCACACACAAACCATTGGTTTGGTCCAGGAGGGGGACAATAGGATAAAAAGCAGATGAATGAAAAAAAAAAAGCAGAGCATATTAAAAAGAACGTTCAGAGCTGCTGCCTCCATCTAAACACTGCTTTACACTCGCTGTCATCAAGTGATCATCTGTAATGATAGCCCAGCATCCGGCAAGTCCCACCAGTGTCCAGATGTGGTTGAGGCATCGCTGGTCTTATAATCACAGACACATTGGCTCAACACCAGCAAATGAAACAGCCAA